ATTTTTAATTAAATTTAATATAAAAATTTATACAAAATTAATTAAAAATATTATATTTAATAAAACTTAAAATATACCCTTAGAATTCCAATAAAAAAAACCAAAATTTATATCCTTGTACCCCTTACTCCGGTGCCGGGAGCCGGGAGGAGCCAATATCAGCCCCTTCATGCTTCTCTCGTTCAAAAGAAACATAGTGGACCCCGCTGACCCTCCTACCCGTCCTTCTCTTATCGTTTCCCACACGCGCTTCTTCTTTTTGACATCCCTCGAAAGTCGCCCGGTTCAAAGATTCAAAAAATTCACGAAGGGACTGTTTGTTTGAAGGGAAAAAAGGGGAAAAGAGCGTCTCAAAATCTCATTTCAACCACCACCTCCATCACTGCTTCCGGAAGCTCTCATCAGCTCAAATTTCACTAAAGTATACTGTGAATTTCCTGGTCTTGCAAACGATTCGGAGCTTTGCGGCCGGCAGAGACAGTTTGCTTTAGGACGGGTTGAGGAGTGACTTTGCGAGGGAGGATGAACGTCATCGGAAGACAGATGGCAAGATCTAATGCGACGGTGCATCACCAGCGACAGTACTCCGATAACTTCCTGGACTCCACGTTCAACGGGAAATGGCTTCAGTCGTCCAATTTCCCCTCATCGCAGGTATTTGATAATTTTTGTTGAGTTTCAGGCGCAATTTCTTTCCAGCACTGCGTGAGAACTAAGCGTCGATTTTTGTGGCACAGGATTTTGGATACTACGGAGTTCAGAGGTCCTCGAGTTTGAGAAAGATCAGCGATGAGAACGTTTCGCCCAGCGAACTTAGCCCTGGGTTGCTGGATCTGCATTCCTTCGATACTGAGCTATTGCCTGAGGTTTGGTCTATCTATACTCTGTTGTTACAGAAAATTGATTGCTGTTTGTTATGCTTGATTAAAATTTCAGATGGAATGCTTTGTTTTACTTATGAATGCTTGGAAGTACTAAGCCGATTTTAAATTAAAACCTACTGATCCCAAAGTGAACTCCATTGCATGATAATATTTTATTTGATCGTTATGAAAGTCATAAGCTTTCTTGATAATGGGATGCATAGTCATGTATTTGAAAGCAGAAACATGGCCTTTTTCCTGGGTGTATCCGTGTAGCATGAAATTTAGATAAATGTTTTTCATGGCAACTGGGACCATTAAAAAGAATGGTGGAGACTTAGAGCCATAAAAAATGGTAAGAGTGTTGTTAATAAAATGCTACCAATCCACATGGTATAACACAATGGTATTGTTGAAATAATAATTGAAGGTTTCATACACTTTTTAGTTCATGGTTGCCACTTTGGAGTGAAACAAGGGGGAGTCACTGAACTATGTTCGAAATAATCCACCATTCCTTTTATTTTGAGTTTTTCTTTCTAGTTGATATATTTATTAATACCATCTTTGGATGCAGGTTCCTAGCCTGTACGAGGGATCCTCACTTCTTCAGCCTGTTGGTAGTAAAAGTTTTGAGGACTCTGAGTCATATATCCCTACAAACAAAATAATAGGCAGGAGCCGTGGTCCGCCTGAGAATAACCTTCTTAAAAGCTTATCTATGGACAGAGAAAGAGCCAACAATGTTGCTAAGATCAAAGTTGTAGTATGTTGCTTCTCTTGCTTTTATTGTCACATAGAAAAGGTTGTTTGAGGCTGTTTTGATTGTTGCTGTGTGAAAAATGATATCGAGCAGATTGGAGATGGGAACAATTCAGAAATGATATTCTATTCACAATGAATATTGAATAATAAAAACCATATTTTGTACACTATCCTATAGTAACAATTTCTATTGCAGGTGCGCAAAAGGCCATTGAACAAAAAGGAGATGGCAAAGAAAGAGGAAGACATTATTACTATAGAACCAAATTCTAATTCTCTCACAGTTCATGAGAAAAAACTAAAGGTAAATGTTATTATGATTTTTGGTTTGTGAGCTAATTTGACCTCCAGACCACTTACACATTTTTAATTTTATTGTCTTCAGATAATGCATATTAATTTGTGGATTTTGAAACCAAAAATGTACAAATTTCATGTTTTTCTTTAGTTGGTTGAGTGTATCCATGTTGGATTGTCATTTTCAAACTGCTTTATTTGAGGGAGAATAGCCACCAGTCATGACAATATGCACGTTGCATGGACAAATAGGAAAGTAGTATTTATCTTCTCTAGGGAATCTAATTACTGGCCACCTTCTGCAGGTTGATCTAACAGAATATGTTGAGAGACATGAATTCCTATTTGATGCTGTGCTCAATGAAGATGTTTCAAATGATGAAGTAAATATTTAATGGGATTTGTTCACAACATTTCATGTAACATCCATTGACCTTGCTTTGCATTTTGGTCATATATTCACTAATTTTATTTTCTTATTTTTTGTAGGTATATTCTGAAACTGTGCAGCCAATTGTTCCACTCATTTTCCAGCGAACAAAGGCAACCTGCTTTGCATATGGGCAAACAGGCAAGTAGTTTACCGTTCCAATTTTTAGAAGTTTATCCAGATGTTTAATGCACTTTCTGCTTTCTAATATGATATTATTAGACTTGTAATTTTCATTTAATTAAAAAAGACGAAAAATAAGATTTTTCCTAATAAAAGAAAATTGAAGTTTGGTGCTCTATTCATGACTTTGGGAAAATAAGATTTTTCCTAATAAAAGGAAAAAGAAATTGGGTGCTTTAGTCATTACTTTGGAAAACATTTGAAATAACTGAAAAAATTCAAGGACAACTCTTTTCTTCTGTTTTCTTTGTTTGAACATGGTCTGAAATTCCATGAAGCTGAAGCCATAAAATGTGCTTGGTTCCAAAAATTAAATACTTACAAGTTATAGATATGCCTCTGTTTTTATTTTTTCAGCCATAGGTGCACCCTCTCCAACTGGTTGCCTATGTTCAACATTGATTGGACTTGGGCCTTACATTTGTACAGGTTTAGTACCTGTTGTTACGTGACTGAGGTTGTGCACTAAAATGTTCTGTTCAACTTTTAAACTTCTAAATGCTGGTTTCTTTTTTTATTTTATTTTATTTTATTTTATTTTATTTTTTTCATTAAAGAAAAACGGAATAGAAAAATCCTACCTTGATTTCAATGGCCTGTACATGCTATTTTCATCCACATGTCAGGTCAGGTCCAACCAGCAGAGACCCTATTAAATGTAAAAGGGGAAAAATGTATAGAATGCTAATGTTGGGCCAAACGTTGTATGCACACATCCATGTATATGTCAAGTTCCCAAATACCAAAATCCCTGCTGGTCATTCAATTCTGCCTGTTAGAAGGCCACCCTGCTTGCCGGTCGAACTTTTTTTATTTTATGAAACAAAAGACAAGCCAAAATCTCAGCTTGCAATAAATTTCTCAGTAATAATATGACATGGAGATCAAGTCTTTGCATTGGCCTTTAAGTAACAGAATTTCATGCATCTTAGAGGTTTTTCGGGCTTTTATCAAGATATTTCCTTTCCCCCGTATTCGTGTCCAGTTTTACCTTTTTGATAAGCAAGTTCAATCCTGCAACTTTGAACTGTGTTTTTATCATTGAATTGAAGTGATATTTATAAAGGCTGTTTTAGTTTGTATCTACTTTTGTTGGCTGCTTCTTACATTCTTTTTTCCCTTTAAATAATATATATTTTGCAGTTTCAAGAAATTATTTTTACCCGTATGTCCATACAGTTAATCCTATTTTCTATTTCAGGAAGTGGAAAAACTTATACCATGCAACCACTGCCCCTAAAAGCATCCCAAGATATTTTAAGATTCATGTACCGTACATACCAGAACCAAGGTTTCAAACTGTTTGTCAGTTTCTTTGAGATATATGGAGGGAAAGTCTTTGATCTCCTAAATGATCGGAAGTAAGTTATGTGATTTAGAGAACCTAGATAAAATTCTCCTATAGTCTAATTATCTGATAAGTATTTCTTTACAGAAAGCTTTGCATGAGAGAGGATGGGAAACAACAGGTTTGCATTGTAGGTTTGCAGGAGTATAGGGTATCAGATGTTGAGACAATCAAAGAATTAATTGAGAAAGGAAATGCCACTAGAAGCATTGGTACTACTGGTGCAAATGAGGAATCCTCACGATCACATGCTATACTTCAGCTTGCTGTCAAGAGATCAGCTGATGGCAGTGAAACAAAGCCTCCCAGACTTGTGGGAAAGCTATCTTTCATAGATCTTGCAGGAAGTGAGCGTGGAGCAGATACCACCGATAATGACAAATTAACAAGGTAGGGAATGCTCAGTGATTATCTGTTATTTGATAAGACAGCCAAATCTTATGCTTAATTGAAGTAAAAAGGTATCATGCATTCAATAGGTGTGTTTATGGGCCATGTAGGCACACCAAGGCACATTTACTTACCCAGAGATTGGATGACCATCCTTGTTCAGTCAGTAATTTTCTTGAGATGCTCTAACTACGGTTATTGGTGATTTTCTATCCCTAACAAGTTTATTTATATTTTGCAGAATGGAAGGTGCCGAAATTAATAAAAGCTTACTTGCTTTAAAAGAATGCATCAGAGCCCTTGACAATGATCAAGGTCATATTCCTTTCAGAGGAAGCAAGCTAACAGAAGTTCTTAGAGATTCTTTTGTTGGTGACTCACGGACTGTCATGATATCTTGTATATCACCTAGCTCAGGGTCATGTGAGCACACTCTGAATACATTAAGATATGCTGACAGGTAAAAGGTCTTATAAGAAATAATGAAGTGCTAAAGTGATTTCCATATTCATTTGAATAAATATGATTGACAATAAGTACATTCCAGAGTGAAGAGTCTATCAAAAGGGAACAACCCTAAGAAGGATTTGCTGTCTTCATCTTCAAACCTGAGAGATTCGATTGCATTGCCCTTGTCTTCAACTGTTACAACTGATCTGTCCTTCGAGGATACCATTAATGATGTTCCCTTTGAAAAGAACAGATTTGGCTGGTCAAAACAGATTGAAAGAGAAGCATCTCCACCTTTTAAAGTGGATCGAGTTCCTAGTAGAAGGGCAGAGGGAAATTTGGCCACAAATGTGTATTCGGATTATTACAAGGATCAGAGAGGTGGTCTAAATGGCCTTCCTGAGGATGATCTTAAGTACTGTGGGGATAATTATGACCAAGAGAAAACATCATGGAAGAATAATAGCAAGGTGCAGAACTTCCCACTGTCATCTTTAGAGGAGAAGCAGAAGAATGAAACTTCGACAAAGTGGGTGGATCACCCAACATTTGAAGATAACCATTCACATTCAGATGATGATCTGAATGCTCTATTGAAGGTAATATCAGTATGGATGCAGTAAAATGACTTTCCCAGTCTATTATTTGAGCTGAAAAGTGAAAATCTACTGTATTTGCTACTAGGAGGAAGAAGATCTTGTATCGTCTCACAGAAGGCAAGTTGAGGAGACAATAGATATTGTTAGGGAGGTAAGTGAAATTCTCATGGTGACTTCAATTCTCTGTTATTTCATTTGTTTTGATTAAACAATTTGGGTGCAGGAGATGAATCTATTAGTTCAAGCTGACAAACCCGATAATCAGCTGGACGACTATATCTATAAACTAAATGCCATTCTTTCACAGAAGGCTGCAGGAATTCAGAAACTACAGACCAGGTTGGCGAAGTTCCGAAAGCATTTGAATGAGTATAATGTTTTAGTGTCATCTGGCAATGATGATGAATATAATTAACTAATTTGGTTTGGATTGTGTCATGTCTGATATGGTGTCAATTTTGGTGACCATATGATATGTGAGGACTCGAATATCTTTCTTCCCTGGTGGCAGAAAATTTAGAAGCCAACAATTATCATCTGGTCACACACAGGGTGACAAGTTCCTTTTGCATTGGATGGTGAGCGTGGTATTCTGTTTTATCATCATTTTTTATTGTCAATGTCTGCTTTTCTATATTGTATGTAAAATTTAGCATCAATAATTGAAACACCTTGTTTTGAGTTATCAAGCTTGTCATGATAAGAATTTTCATGATCTTGCCGCTAGCTTTTATGGCCGAGTTGGGTTATTCAGTTAATTTTTTTTATCTTTCACTTTTCATTTGAATGGAAAATAGATAAAGTCTGTCTACTTGATTGCCTCACATATGATTGTAATATTTCTTGTGTCAAACATTGCTTTGCTTTAACTTGCATCTTCTTCACCAGCAGGCGATAGACCTTGTGGCAATGATCCATTACTTGATTATTGCATGTTGGTATTCTTTTTTACCACATTACTGCTATAGAGTGTGGCGTTACCACATTCCTTTCTTAGGTCATCTCTCTTCTCAATTATGTTAAGAAAATTACGTTTTTTAATTTGACTTCTCTCTAAAATTACTCCCTGATACAATTACACTACATGTTGAATCCAATAATAAGTTAAGGAATTATGAAAAATTAAGATATCTTGATATTTAAATTGTCTTTTAATAGTAATAAAAAAATATTTTTAATAAATTAATATATAAAAAAATTTATTAATAATATTTAAATAATATTATAAAAAAATTTAAATGTCTTGAGTTTTACTTCTCACGAGTAAACTTGGTCGTACAATAAATTTATGGTTCAAGTTCTATGTTTAATACTCTGGCCTAAAAATGTCTTATGTTTAATACATCAAGGCACTTGGCCTATTGGGCCCAATGGAAGTGCAGTTTAACCCCCCAACCTTTTGCAGAATTTCAATACCCCCGCCTCCCCAAAAATTTGTACTAGTTCAAAAAAATGTTTATTACATTAAGAAAATTTAATTTACTTGAATAATGTAGGAACATATAGGGTACGCATTTAACAATGAAACCAACTCAGCTTTAATATTTTTTAGAATGATTTTTTTTTTTCAATTTGAATTGTGTAGTTTCAATTATAAAAGTATTAAAATATTATTAATTAATAAGAATTATTAAAGAGTATTTAAACATTTTACAGCCCGAATTGGAGTGCAAGACTGAGAAAAGATATTTCTATTTTTTTTTTCTTTCAACTTCAGTTCAGCTATTCCTATTTTATTGCTTCATACCCAAAATTCCCATAATTTTTTGCACTACATTGGAATATGGCAGCCATTTGGTGGTTAAGGCCATCCAACAAATTGTTAGGGCACACAAATTTTTTTTAATAATTAATTATGATATTTAAAAATATTAATGTATAAGTTAAATTTAATTTGTTAAATAATAAATTTTAACTATTTGATTATTTATTAATTAATAATTTAATTATTAATAATTATTTTTAACTATCAAGTTAAATAGAATCATAATTTAAAAAAAGTAAAATTAGAAAATTTGAATGCAAAACCTTCAAATTTATCTCTCAAATAAAAAGATAAGGAGAGATTCACTTCTCTAAAAATATAAGGATAAATGACCCTCTAAATTATCAATTAAAACAAATAATTTATTATTTAATCTATAACATCACCTCACATCAGTTTTTCATTGAAAAATACTTAGATAGCAAATAAATTTTTGACATATGATGATATTATTTATTAAATAATAAATAATTTATTTTAATTAATAATTTATAAAAATAATTTATTTTTATTTTTAAAAAATAATTTTATCTCTACTTAGAGACAAATTTAGAGTCATGTCAAATTTGAATCCCCCTAACAATTTGTTAAAAGTGGCATTCCCATTCATCAGAGGTCTCAATATGACTGGATGAATGTCGTTGTTAAATCTTTTAGCAGAAATTTTATACAGGGGAACACAAATTTATCATCCGCACCACCCATCCCATCCCATCACCATCAAATTGCTTCTCTGCTGATCTGGACTTCTCGGTCAAATGTGCCACCTGTGTTGTTAAGTGGGTCCCATTATCATTGCCTCAGTCTTGTCCACGCACGCTGGACAACAATGACCGAGAGAAATTTGGTGTAGGGTTCAATCTGGAGGATCACCATTTGTAGCACCAGTGTCTGTTTGCATAATAATTGATCATTTTTGTAGAATTTTAGAAGAAACAGGTTCACTGGTACTTGATTGCTTACTTTATGACCTGCTATAATACTAATAATTTTTTTTTATGAAATAATACTAATAAAAATTAGAGAATGAACATGACCCTTCAGGTTAAGTGGCTCTAGTTACACTTGTAAAGTTCATATTTTTCTTTTTAAAGACAACGGTTCAAACCGGTCTCATGATAAAATGTTCAAAAAAAAAATTAGAGAATAATATACATGAATAATATACTTGAGAATCAATTTCAATTTTTAAAAGTTTTGATTAAGAGTTCTGAAATTTAAAGAATAAAACATTTAAATTAATGACTTAAGTAATTTAATCATAATTTCATTTAAGTAAAAATAAAAGATTTTAAGTTATATTACATGTGAGTAAAATAATTTAAGGGATAAGAAAGAGTTATTTTTTATTGCATATTTCAAGATAAAAAAAAATATACATTTAGCATCTATTATAATGGTCTATGTGCTTAAAGATTAATTTTATGGGAAGAGCTTTTATTGGAAAAAATGATTAAAAAAATGTTGTACATAAAGTTAAAAAGTATTATATAAAAAATTAGTGAGCTTTATAATAAAGTTATATTAAAATTTTATTAAATTATTAACTTTTCTTTATTCACATCAATACATGACAATTGAAAATTTATTTCTTGAAAAATATTTTATTTAGATAAAAAAATAAAAAAATAGTGTTTATCCGTCTTACCTCTTACTCTTAAAAATTAAGAAAAATATTATTCCAAAACTACATCATTTTAATACATATATTGAAAAAAACTAAAATATCTTATTTGTAAAGCATGAATTAAGGTTTTTTTTTTTTATCTTTTTTCCTCCTCATTTTTTTTAAGGTAAGGTGAACAAACAGTAATCCAAAAAATAATTATTATTTATTTATTATATACAATTATTAAGTTAATATATGAAACTAGTACCTATCCACATTATCTCTCAAAGATTAGGAGGAAAATTATTTCAAAATTACGTTATTTCAATAAATCTCATTGAAAAAAACTAAAATATTTTATTTTTAAAATATGAATTAAAATATTTATTATCTTTTTTTGTAATACTTTATTAAAATTACATAGTTTTAAGGTGATTTTCTTTTTAATTTTTGCGGATATATACTAATAACTTAATATATAAAATCCAACAGTTAGAACAATTAACAAAGGTTGCACTCGGGCCTTGTGGCATGATGGCTTAAAGATACATTGAAGTGCATCCCCTCTGGGCGTTGGGTTCGAATCCCTCTTTCCCCAATTTATTTTTAAGAAAAAAAAGGAAGAGATTAAAGTAGTAATATATTAAAATTTTGTAGAAAAATTATTACGTAAACCTTATATGGGAAATGACGTCCCGAAAGATAAGTATTGAGCATATGAAAGGATAACCTTACAATTATAAGAATTGTTAAAAAAAGAGCGAATTAAATTTTTATAAGGTTATTTTAAGCCACAAGTTAAAAATATTTTTTTAATTTAAATTATTATTAAAAAATAAAATTTATTATTTATTTAATTAAAATAATATATGTAATATTAATGATAAAAATAATGTTAAGTTTTATTTTTTTTATTAATTAATATAAAAAAATATTAATTACATCTTTAACTTATGCTTTAAGAAGATATGCTAGATGAATCCATTTACATATACTATTCTTAGAAAGTTATGAGCCTTAAATTCAAATCAACACTCGATATGTATAACCATTCAATGGGAAACCCAGTGAAGTAGACAGAACCAAAGTACCAATTACCAAGTGTCAAAATCTAACAAGTGCTTATAATGTACAAGAGAACTAATTAGATACCTCCGTCCACCTGGCCTGCATTGATTATTGGTAAATTCAAAAGGAGAAGAGCAATTCTATAGGACATAAGAGAACAGAGTTCCTGAGGGGGCCAATGTTCGGAGCTCACCAATTAAAGAAAAACAAAGTGACAAATGGGCGAAGATGTTGTGGGACTTTCTTTGTCTTTAATATTAAGAAGGGATCTTGTAATTGAGATGCCATTTACACAGATTTTTGTTGTGGTTTTGATGAGTCGGCACTACGCATTTTGGGGGACTTTTTCCCCGTGTGAACTTAAAACAAAAAGAACAAATAAACCAACTTGCAACTATAACCGCGTGCAACTATAACCGCGTATAAGCCTGCGTTGATCAATTAGTTAAAAATTTAAAGTTATAATCTAGAAATTTTAAATTTAAATTTCGAGTAAAATAAAGAGATATTTGAGAAAAGAATTAACAATTTACTTTTAGGTTAAATCCCCATTTTGGTCCCTGAACTATTGTATGAACCCCCGATTTAGTCCCTGAACTAAAGAAATCCCTGATTTGGTCCCTAAACTATTGTACGGACCCCGATTTGGTCCCCACTGTTTATAATTTGGCCAAAGTTGGTCCTTGAACTATTGTACGAACCCCTAATTTAGTCCTCATTATTTACAATTTCACCCCAATTTGATCCTTGAGCTATTATTTAATAGAAGGACCAAGTTGGGGTTAAATTGATAAACAGTAGGGATCAAATTGGGGATCCATATAATAGTTTAGGGACTAACTCAAGGGTCTATACAATAATTTAGGGACCAATTCAAGAGTCCGTACAATAGTTTATGAACCAACTCAGGGGTCCGTACAATAATTCAAGGACCAAATTAGAGATTTCTTTAGTTCAGGGACCAAAATAAGGGTTTAACCTTACTTTTATATATCTTATCATTAAATATTAAAAAACATCAATATTTACCATCTAATTATTACTCTTTATATATCACCCGTAATCCACTACTCACCAATCGTTATATGTAATTCATCATTGATAATTAGTAATTGATAAATTTTAACATATGTACCAAAACAATTCCTAAATGATATTAATGCAGCTAGCTAAAACAATCAAGAGAGTAAAAAAATCATTTCATAGGAATGTTATTGCGTGAAAATAATTTGAAAGAAAACAACAACCACAAGTATCAACCTTTTCATGGAGGCTTTTATAGATCAAAGCTACATTA